AGGGAAGGATCCGCGGATATACGCGGATATTTGCGGGGGTTTACATTACATCCGCACAACGTGTACGCGCGCGCGAATATAGATCCACGCACCGTATCGAGGGGATGTGCTTCTTTTGACGACAAGTGCCGCCGCATCTCGAGGTTTCGCACTCTCGATGCATCCTCCGTATCATCCGCCGGCGCACGTCGATACGTGACAAGGGATATCTATCGGCGCGGAATTTTCGCGAGCGGCGAGAGGGAGAGAAAGGGGTGGGATCGGTGACGAAAAATCGGTGAGATCCTTTCCGCCGTGAGTTCCGCCCCGAGATTTCCGCCGCCGCGTGGTAAATCATGTGCGATGTAAAATTCCCCCTCTCTCCCCCCCCCCTCACTCGTGCGCCGCTAGCGACGTGCGGTAAAAGATAACATTAACAGGAACCGAACGGGTGATTCCCCCAGAGGGATTCGCGCCGACCGAAAAGAGAAAACAAAGGAGAACGTTTGTCGAGAGCAGCGCAATTAACGTGTCGCATCGATACGTCTTCGTTTAACGACCTTTTAAGTCGCGTCGAAAAATTTGATGACGTTTAACGTTCTACAAGATGAGGCAGGAACTTACGTATTCGTGTTAAGAAAGTACATACTTTTTTAACGCGATCGATATTGCAATTAAGGCGCAAGTAAGAGGTGATTCTTCTCGTCCAAGAATTTTGTAGTTCCCCGGATGTAATGCACCTAACTTTATAGTGTTGCATAAAAGATTGAAAAAAGAAATTACGAGCGCGATCGCGAAGGGTACGTAGAAAAAAAAGGGGGGGCGGGAGGCAGGGGAGAAAAGAACACGGAAAGTACGGAAGTAGCTTCGAGCAGGCGGGAGCGGGTGAGAGGAAGAGGAGCGGGCGGAATGAGAGGAGATCAAGGTACAGCAGTCACGAAAGGAGATAATAAAATTAAAGCGATCGATCGTAGCGTCTGACCGACTTGCGACATAGTTTCAGCGAGATTACTTGAAATACTTACGTCGACTCTAAGTATAAACGGGGAGGAGAGGAAATTCAGGGACGACCGTGTTGTTGTAATATTGTTGCGTGCAGGTCGGTACGGTGTAATCGGAGTAACAAGAGCTCGCTATTGTAGTTGTAATAATATTAAAATATGTAATACGTGACAAGATGGGATTTAAAGGGATATCATGGGACGATTGTGTAATGGCCAAGAATCGGTGGTGCGCAACGATATGAATTTCAAAGGCGTGAGATCGTTTTGTCGAGAGATTTCATCGATATTCGTAAGCATGACGAATCGCGTCAACAATATTACGTTATTAAATACACCTGCGCGAGCGCGATTAATAACGAGCGCGTATTCTCTGTGCGGCGCGCGCGATACGCGTGGCAAATGTCGCGCATGGCGGATTTTTCAGGGTGGGGAAAAAAATTCAGCGGACGATTCTGTTCACTTATCAATCTTTCCCCCCTCCCCCTCCAGGGTGGTCTCCTCTTCTCTCCGCTCGTATCGAATATTCGCA